AGATTACAGGCGTGAGCCACCACGCCCGGCCAAAATTACATTTTCTAATCTTGTTGAAAATACTAAACCACAGTGGGTTTTTAGTGTGTGGTTTGTTTTGTTTTTTTTTTTTTTTTTTTTGAGATGGATCCTCGCTCTGTCCCCTAGGCTGGAATGCAGCGGTGCGATCTCAGCTCATTGCAAGCTCCACCTCCTGGGTTCACGCAGTTCTCCTGCCTCAGCCATGGGAGTAGCTGGGACTATGGTAGCTGGGACTACAGGCACCTGCCACCATGCCCGGCTAATTTTTTGTATTTTTAGTAGAGACAGGATTTCACTGTGTTAGCCAGGCCGATCTCCTGACCTTGTGATCCGCCTGCCTCGGCCTCACAAAGTGCTGGAATTGCAGCCATGAGCCACCACGCCGGCCACCACATTGTTTTAAAGTTATAAAATGCTGTGAATTTCTTGAGTTACTGACATTATGGCATATGATTGTTTATGAATTGAACTCATTGAATAGTAAATGGAGATTGATTATTAAAAATTCAAAAATCTGAGATTCGAAATGCTCCAAAATCTGAAACTTTTTGAGTGTCTACATGTCACTCAAAGAAAATGCTCATTGAAGCATTTTGGATTTCAGATTTTCAGATAAGAAATACTCAGCATAGGCCAAGCACTGTGGCTCGTTCATGCCTGTAATCCCAGCAGTTTTGGAGGCCAAGAGGGGAGGATTGCCTGAACCCAGAAGGTTAGGACTGTAGTGAGCGGTGATCGCACCACTCCACTCCAGCCTGGGCGACGGGAGTGAGACCCTGCCTCCAAAAAACAGAAAGAAAGAAAAAGAAACACTCAACCTGTATTAAGATGTGAAATGTGTGGTTATATCTCTTATAAAGCAGTGTTTGATGTGGTCTCAGTGGCTTATGCCTGTAATCCTAGTACTTCAGGAGCCTAAGACGGGCAGATCTCTTGAGCCCAGGACTTCAAGACCAGCCTGGGTAATATGGTGAAACCCCAACACTATTAGAAATAAAAAAATTAGCTGGGTGTGGTGGTGTGTGCCTATAGTCACAGTTACTTTTAAGATGGATCACCTGAGTCTGGGAAGTTGCGGTTACAGTGAGCCAAGATTACACCATTGCACTCAAGCCTGGGCTTATAGGAGTGAGACCTTCTCTGGGGAAAAAAGAGGAAAAACGGAGAAATGTTTGTTGTACATAAGCCCTATATTACTGTCTTACTTAACTTGCATTGTATTTGATATTTAGCCTTATAATAACATTTTTGCTGTAATGTTAAGTGCACATTCATTTAGCGTGAGTCGCTTATATCTGGGGATGCTTTATTAAGTAGGATGGATACAATGTCTTTTATGGAAGACCAGACAAATAAGGCAGAAATCACATAAATGTAATTAATACTATGACAAAGGAAACTACAGGTGTGTGGAACAGATCAGGAAGAAGTGATATGGAAAGTGAAACTTGAAGAGTAGTAGTTGGGAGAAGAGGGCACAGAGGTATGTTATTGAGAAAACAAATATGTATGAAGGCCCAGAGCAGGGGAAAAGTTTATTATGACTTTTTGAGCAGGAGAGTGGAATGGGGAATAGAGGTAAAAACTGAGATTTCCACCGGGCGCAGTGGCTCACGCCTGTAATCCCAGCACTTTGGGAGGCCAAGGTGGGAGGATCACAAGGTCAGGTGATCGAGACCATCCTGGCTAACGCGGTGAAACCTCATCTCTACTAAAAATACAGAAAAATTAGCCGGGTGTAGTGGCGGGCGCCTATAGTCCCAGCTACTCGGGAGGCTGAGGCAGGAGAATGGCGTGAACCTTGGAGGCAGAGCTTGCAGTGAGCTGAGATCGTGCCACTGCACTCCAACCTGGGCGACAGAGCAAGACTCTGTCTCAAGAAAAAAAACCAAACCAAAACAAAACAAAACAAAAAAAACAGATTTCAGGGGTAGTCTAGGGCCAGGTTAAGAGTGTGGGCTTGGCCAGGCATGATGGCTCATGCCTGTAATCCCAGCACTTTGGGAGGCCGAGGCGGGTGGATCACCTGAGGTCAGGAGTTCAAGACCAGCCTGGCCAACATGGCGAAACCCCGTCTCACCCTGTTGGCGCGCCGAGATCGTGCCACTGCACTCCCTGAGCGACAGCGCGAGACTCCTCAAAAAAAGAGAGAGAGAGTGGGTCCACATTGAAGGGAATGAGAGGTCATTAATGGTCCTTAGAGCAGCATGGTGATGCAAATCAGATTTACTTTAAAGGGCTCTCTTTAGTTTCGGTTGGGAAAATAAATTGGAGATAACAGAAGGGAAGGCAGTAAAGTCAGGAGACTGTGTAGTAACCTAGGTGATGAATGATTGTCTCCTTTAATGAGAAGATGGAGAGAAGTAGGTATCATTGAAAGTAGTAAGATTATTAAGACTGAAAAGAATCAAGCATAGCAAGAATGAAGGAATGGAAAGTATCTTGTTAGTTTTCGGTATTTTAAACTCATTGGCAAATTAAAGTGCCTTTTTAGATTGAATATGAGTTAGTGAGTGAGCAGGAGGTAAGGAAGTAGAAAAAGTGTAGACAAATCAAGAAGTCACAAAGAGAAGAGAGAAGTGGAAACTTAGCTTTTTTCCATAAATAGCTGAGGAGCATATATTAAAGAGTCAGTTTTTTTCCATTTGGTTGTGCTCTGTTGGCCAGGCTGTAGTATAGTGGCATGATCATGGCTTGCTGCAGCCTCAACCTTTCAGATTCAAGTGATCCTCACGCTTCAGCTCCCTAGTAGCTGGGAGTACAGGTGTGTGCCACCATGCCCAGCTAATTTTCTTATTTGTAGAGACATGGTCTCACTGTGTTGCCCAGGCTGGTCTCAAAACTCTTGAGCTAAAGGGATCCTTCCTGCCTACCTCTCCCAAATACTGGGATTACAGTGTGTGAGTGCTAATTTTTGTAAAGTTCTTAGAACATTAATGTGCCATTACATATTAATGTACATAATGTACTATGTACATTAATTGGCACATAGTAATTAATCTATTAAGTGTCAAAGAATTTGGGCTCAACTGGTCATTGTCATATATGTCAGAGATAAGAATACAAGACCCTCCAAAAGTTCATGAGTAAGAGCTGATGAACTTTTTAATTTCATGGTGTTTTAGCATTTTCTTAATTTTCACTTGTTGATTTATTCTTCTTCCATAATGACACAAATAATGAGATGATTAGACTCAGAATCTGGAATCAGATTGTGGGAGTTTACATTGTGCTCTGTTTAGCTGTTTGATTAGGTTTCTTAAACTCTAAGCCTTAGTATCTCCTCAGTGTTTGCTATATCATAATAGGCATTTCAATAAAAATAATTTGAGAAAAAATTATACAGAAAAAAAAGCACAGTCACTTACTGTTTGTGCTTTCATTCACTGGTTTTACTTACTTTTTTCCTCAAGTCTATTCTGCACCCTGCCTCACATGAAGAAAGTGCCATTTACTATTTATGTTTTTATTTTATATACTATTTTATTTACCAAAATGGATTTTATTCTCTGTTGTATTCTCATAGCATCTACCATTATTCTAGGTAAATTGTAATCTCCTAGTAATTGTTGGGTTTGTTTAAAGGAGGAACATTTAAAGAGTTTAAAAACAATATATGTTAGTGACAACATTCAGCTTACTAGATCCTTTGTCTTCTACACCCCTTCTTTCACCTAGGCAAAATGATGTAATAGATATAGGGACCTTTCTTTTTTTAGTTTGAAGATTTCATTTTCTTGTAGTTCTGCTTAAACTGTTTTATTTCTGTTACTGAAAAACTCAAGTGTGCTTTATATTCTAGGTCCGGTTTATCACTAAAATATGGCATCCTAATATTAGTTCCGTCACAGGGGCTATTTGTTTGGATATCCTGAAAGATCAATGGTAAGAGATTTTGAATTCACCTTCTCTCCTTCTCATGTGAATACCAAGACTATAAGAGTGCTAAATGTGTAATTGCCTCAAAACATATATTATATTTTATCTTGTTTGGGCAGTAACTTTATAAAGTCTCAAGTACATAATTGAAAATGCAATATAATTGAGATCACAATCCATATTTAAATAGAGACTTGTTAGATAATGTTAGATGCTAGCTTTACACTTTGAAAAGTCTTGGGTTTCATTTGTTATTTTGGTAAATTTGATTATTTGCTATCTTAAGAAGATATTTGTGAAAGACTAAAAAAGTAGAAAGTAAGTATTGAAGTAGTCATATCCCCCTTGGATGGAATGTAAGTTACAAAATTGTTGCAAGTTGTGTTAATGGAGCACAGTTTGAGCACAGTTATGACTTTGGTTTATGAATTCTAACAAGGAGCACCTTTGTAGGTGATGTCTTCATTTGGATAGCAGTATTGTGCTTTCACATTTTTTGTCTGATTTGCTCTGCACAGCATTAAGTGTTTTAAGAGTTTCTGCTCTGGAGCCACTACGTTCACATCTTGGCTCTCCAATTTACCAAGCTGCATGGTCATGAGCAAATTACCTAAATTCTGTGTGCCTTCGTGTCCTCGTCTGCAAAATGGGTTGACACCCACTTCATAGAGCTGAGAGGATTAAATAAGTTACTTTATGTAATTCCCTTAAATTAGAGCTTTGCTTTTGTTTTTTGGTTTTTGTTTTTTTGAGACAGGGTCTTGCCTTGTCGCCCAGGCAGGAGTGCAGTGGCGCAATCACAGCTCACTGTAGCCTTGACCTCTAAAGCCCAAGTAGTCCTACCACCTCAACCTCCCAAGTAGCTGGGAATACAGGCACATACCACCACACCTGGCTAGTTTTTGTATTTTTTTGTAGAGACAGGGTTCCTGTTGCCCAGGCTGGAAGCTTTGTGTAGTCTAACAATGATAAAGATGATAGTTAATTATTTAGCACGTGATTTTTTTTTTTTTTTTTTTTTTCTCGCTCTGTTGCCCAGGCTGGAGTGCAGTGGCCGGATCTCAGCTCACTGCAAGCTCCGCCTCCTGGGTTTACGCCATTCTCCTGTCTCAGCCTCCCGAGTAGCTGGGACTACAGGCGCCCACCACCTCGCCCGGCTAGTTTTTTGTGTTTCACCGTGTTAGCCAGGATGGTCTCGATCTCCTGACCTCGTGATCCGCCCGTTTCGGCCTCCCAAAGTGCTGGGATTACAGGCTTGAGCCACTGCACCCGGCCTAGCACGTGATTTTATAGATGGAAAAACTAAGACCAAAGGTATAAAAATTAATTGGAGTGGGAGAAAACCATAAAACTAGAAAAAAATCAGTTGAGTGAGTGTGTATTACAGCCTTTTCTTCTGATTTTACTCTTTTACAAGAGAAGGTATAACAGAACAAAACAAAACAGCAGTTGGTAACAGTTGGAGCCAAAACTGTGTTTAATGGGCCCAGCCTGGCTACCTAATCTTCTAAAGATTACATATTATTGTTGGTACTAGAATTTTTAAGCTATGTTTTTTTGGGTAGTGTTTGTTTTCGATACAGAGTTTCACTCTTGTTGCCCAGGCTGGAGTGCAGTGGCGCGATCTCGGCTCACTGCAATCTCTGCCTCCCAGGTTCAAGCAGTTCTCCTGCCTCAGCCTCCCGAGTAGCTGAGGCTACAGGCGTGCGCCATTACGCCCAGCTAGTTTTTATATTCTTAGTAGAGATGAGGTTTCACCATGTTGGCCAGGCTGGTCTCGAACTCCTGACCTCAGGTGATCCTCTTCCCTGGACCTCCCAAAGTGCTGGGATTACAGGCGTGAGCCACCACACCCGGCCTAAGCTATGTGTTTGATTTGTTAAGAAAGGGGGGATAAAAAGGTACCTGAAAGAAAATGAAATAGGAATGACAGCATTTAGTGTATGGCCAATTTGGTTTACTTAGTAACTGGATGAACAGACTAGAGTTACACGTTTCATTTTGTTTTTTTCTGTTCCAGTAGTATATCTGAGTAAATCCTGTCCCTCTATAGATCATCTCTTGAGATCTGGTTTCTTGATCTATATTTCAATATATTCTATGTTGCATATAGATCAAGACTTTCAAACATAAAGCCGTGTGGAATAGACTTACTTTTATCTTCTCTGTTACTCTTTTGATTTGTGACTTGCCAATTTATTGAACGTCTTAAGTGTCAGTGTTTTTAATCCATTAGGTTATAGCCAAGGCCTCTAAAAGCTCTAAGATTCAGTGATATGAGTACGTATTTGCAGTATTCGAGACATTTTACTGTTTTCATTTGGTTTCTAGGGCATTAGTTTTTCTATTCTTCCTTTCCCACCACGCTCACTCCCAGACTCCTTAATTAGTTCCTTGCATATCCCCGGATCTTTGTGTATTAGAATGCCTCAGGGATAAGTCTTGGATTTCTGCTTCTTTCTAGCTGCACTCACTTCCTTGGTAACCTCATCTGATTTCATCATAACTTCACCTTTATATACTGCAAACTCACAAATTATCTTCCCTGAACTTGAGACTCTTATCCTGCTGCCTGCTTATCATCTTTACTTGACTATATAATGAACATATCAAACATAAACTGAACTGATAGTCTCCTAACCTGAAACCTGTTTCTATAGTCTTCCCCAACTAAGTTATTGGCAAATACAACCTTGCATTTTCTCAAGCCAAAATCACATCATGATCCTTGGTGTTTCTTTCTCTGGCACCCCATGCCCTGTCTGCAGATCTGTTGGCAAAACCTCCAACGTCTTAACAGCAGCTTTACTACCACATTTTTCCAAACAAAACGCTTTACCTCTAGCCTGGATGATTGCATTAGTCTGCCTCCCTGCTTCTGGCTTCTCCCTACTCAGGCTATTCTCAGCACCCAGAATGACGACCTTAAAAACAAAGCTTGCAGCCAGGTGTGGTGGCTCATTCCTATAATTCCAACACTTTGGGAGGCGGAGGTGGGCAGATCGCTTGAGGTCAGAAGTTCGAGACCAGCCTGGCCAACGTGGTGAAACCCTATCTCTACCAAAAATAAATAAATTAGCTGGGCATGGTGGTGCATACCTGTAATCCCAGCTACTTGGGAGGCTGAGGCAGGAGAATCGCTTGAACCTGGAAGGCGGAAGTTGCAGTTAGCCCACATCATGCCATGGCACTCCTGCCTGAGTGACAGAGTGAGACCCCATCTCAAAAAAGAAAGAAAGAAAGAAAAAGCTTGGAGATGAAAACTTCCCACTGACTTGCTTTTTGCCCAGAGTTAAGCCAACAGTACTGTTACTTGTAATTATCTCCCTATGTAGCTAGTTGAAAGATTATGGTGTGTATATATAGAGAGAGAAATTGAATTTTTATACCAAAACATTTTCTCCTAATATGATGTGCAGGAACATAACATGTTTTACATCAACTGTTCCCTTTCCTAAGGCAGGTGAATAATCTTGCTTTGTATCTGTACAATTGAAATATTAAAATATACCAAAGACACATTAGATAAAATAGGTGAGACTAGATATTCATGAATTCATTACTCTATTCCCTGACCTTTACTGAGGTATAATTGGCATTTAGTGCATATCCATATTTAAATGTGAATGTTTAGGTTTCAGAACTGGAATTTGATAGAGAAAAATACAGGGTCTTAATCATAGGAAAAATGAATTACATAAACATTAAATAATTTTCTGCAGGCATACTAGAAAATACATGGTTAATCTTGGTCTTTTATTAATGGCATCTAGGGGTGGTGATATACCTTTATTAATATTTAACAACTTAGTATATTATTTTTATTATCTTTTTTTTTTTTTTTTTTTTTTCAAAGTCTCATTCTGTCACTCAGGCTGGAGTACGATGGTGCGATCTCTGCTCACTCCAACCTCCACCTCCCAGGCTCAAGTGATTCTCCTGCCTCAGCCTCCCAAGTAGCTGGGATTACAGGCATGTGCCACCATGCCCAGCTAATTTTTTTGCATTTTTAGTAGAGATAGGGTTTCACCATGTTGGCCAGGCTGGTCTCGAACTCCTGACCTCAGGTGATCCCCCCGTCTCAGCCTCCCAAAGTGCTGAGATTACAGGCGTGAGCCACTGTGCCCAGCCCCTGGTTTATTTCTTAATTTCACAACTTATACTATGTGGAAACGATTTTCTAATGTTTTCCACTGACACTATGACTAATGGTGTCTACTTACCTGGGGAAGAAAATGACAACACAAAAATTTCACTCAGTGATGCTGCCCTTCTAAAAGACACAAACAGGCACAGAGTATCTGCCTGGTCAATAACGTATGCTCACCATCATTACTCATCAGGGAAATGCAAATTAAAATCATAATTAGATACCACTGCATGCGTGTAAACATAAATACCTCATACATTGCTGGTAAGAATGTGGCTTAACCAGGCAGGGCACGGTGGCTCACGCCTGTTATCCCAACACTTTGGGAGGCCGAGGTGGGTATATTGCTTGAGGTCAGGAGTTCAAGACCGGTCTGACCAACGTAGTGAAACCCCATCTCTACTAAAAATAAAAATTAGCCAGCCATGATGGTGGGCCCCTGTAATCCCACCTACTCGGGAAGCTGAGACAGGAGAATCTCTTGAACCTGGGAGGCAGAGGTTGCAGTGAGCTGACATCACGACACTGCACTCCAGCCTGGGTGACAAAGCGAGACTCCGTCTCAAAAAACAACAGAAAACAAAGAATGTGGTTTAACCACTTAAAGCCAGTAATATCTACCAAAGCTAAACACACACCTTCAGTATGCCCTATCAGCTTCATTCCTAGGTATGTATCTAAAAGAAATTAGTGCCTATGCCTACTTTTTGAAAGACATGTATGAAAGAATTTTTATGGCGAATTTATTAATAGCCCCAATGGGAAATAACTCAGATGTCTCATCAACAAGAAAATTGATATATTGTGATCACACATTGGAGCACCACGTAACAGTAAAAAGCATATCATTGACACA